TACCAAATAAGTGTGTGTGCGCCATCTGCATAGTTGTCAGAAGATTTTTTTTCCCTTCACAGTACCCATTGGGTTGGTTGTGGAGCCCCCTGAAGTTACACTTTCATGGCGGTGCGGATAGGTTCCTGCCAACCTGCTGCCTCCCCAGTTTTTTCTTGACACCAGTGACGGTTATTGGAGCAGTTCTTCTCTTGCTATGGCAAGCAAACCCCTACTGGACTTTTCTTGTTGTACCTGTAAATTGTTGAAAATTTAATATTAGTTCTAGTAGTTCATAGTTAGTTTCGATAAGTTCTCCCCCTCCCCATGTTTCCTTTCATGGGTGTGGGGCATATCTTGATCTCAGGGATTCATACTATGTTGGTCCTGTTTGAAACTTATGCTCAAGGGAGACCCACACAACTTCCACTTAGTGTTGGGGGGAAGCCCATCAGACTGAGAATTTAGGCTGAAATTTGCTCCTTGTGGAGTCTGCCTTTTGTCCCCAGCTGGCACGAGAGGTGTCCAACCCCAAACACAGCATTTTGGTGTGGAGTACCCCAGCCTCAATAAGAGAAACTGCAGCACCAAGAAAGGATTCAGGTTCCAGTGACTCTTGGCACCTCTATTTCCCAGCTCCAAAGACCTTCTCTGGTGTGATTGCCCAGCACAGCTCCCATTCCCTGGTCCCACACAACAGTTGTCATCTCTGTCATGTTAACAAAAATTATTTTCAAAACCATAAAGGTTACGATGAAATTAAAACTGAGGAAGGAAAAATAGACGTAGTTAAAATGTTATTGTAATAGTGGTTTGCTAGTTTCAAGCATGCACTTTCAATTCTAATGTTAACTTGTACATTTTGGCCGGCTAGTTGTATACTCTCGTAGAGCAGCAGCTATATATATCTTCAGAACTGCAAAATGATAGTGGAGGAGAAAGAAATCAGATTCAGAGATGAAAGCCTCAATCTTTATATTTGCAGCATTCAGGCACTGACTGAAAAGTGACTGTAAGTCACAACTAACCCACCCACCCACAGCTTGTGTTAGCAGTTGAGATCTCATCAGTGAATAATGATGGTGTCCATAATTTAGCATTTCTTTAAATAGTTCTGTAATTTATCTGGAACAGCATAGGGAGAGACTGCAAAGCACCATTTCTGCCTTCACCTCTGTTTCCCAGGAAACCTGCTTTAACAGCTTCTTTGTTCTTCAGAACAAAGCTCTTGTCATTATTTAGGTGGGTTTAAAGGAATTTGTTAGCTGATTTAGCACTGGAAGAAGCACAGAAGCACTCCTAAATATTGGGGATCCACTAGGAATAATTAAAGATTTTTAAAATGTTAGTTTATTAGTATATAACGCATTTTTAAACATGTGTTTTTTAGTTTAAGGGAATTCCTGGTTATGAGACCCTATTACCTAAGAGAAAACTTTGCTCCCTTTGCTCCCTTTGCCATACTAGTGACCTTGTAGTCATTTATTTAGATTTAATTGCAGGAATGTACCTGTCCAAAGCTCTTAGACTCTTCCAAATTTACGGTTACACAATCCTTGCAGGACTATATACCTGGCAATGTAACAGAGACTGAACTTAACAAAAATTAAATAAGCTTTACCAGTGCTCAAGTCAAAGCAGAAAATATACCCCAGTCCTTTCATAAGGCATACATAAAAATAGCCATTGCTGTGTGCATGATAAGTCAATACATTTGGGCCGTTTTAGAATAAGACTGGCAAAATAAGGAGCTCATGTAAAGCTCATTGAGTCAACAGTTCCAGCTCATCTATAGCAGCGGGTGTACATTGTAAAAATCTCCAAGGAACGAACACACACATACACAAGAGACTCTGATATGCAGAATCTAGTCCTTTTAGACACATAAGAACTATCCTATTGGACCACAACAGAATCTGTCTAATCCAGTGTACTATATCTGACACTGGCAATACCAAATGCTTTAGAGGAAGATGCAAGAAAATCCTAAGTGTTAATTAGGGATGTAAAGTCCCATTTAATTGGCTAAGTGATTAAAATTATGTTTAACCGGTTAACCAATTAAATGGGGCAAGCAGGGGGGATTGTCCCCTACCCCGTGGATGGGGGGCTGCCCTGGCCAATCTGGAGAGCCCCTGCCCATGGTGCGCATTGACCAGGCCTGCTCCGGCTGGGCTGGAGCGCCCCTGCCAGGCGGTGGGCTACTCCAGCCGTCACTGATTAACCATAACTGGTAAGCCTCACCCAGTTAACCAGTTAAACATTCACATCTCTAGTGGTGATTATGGAATATCCTGCCCATAGGTGAAAAGGGTGCCTAGATTCTGGATACATGCCAGAGGAATCAAAACCAACCAATCAATTAGCTAAACCTCATTTCAGAGTCTCTGTTGACGTAATCAACGACTCCAGTACACTAGGAAGTAAAGCAAAAAAGCCATGTTAACATGACAAGTGTCAATATCAGAGGGGAAGTGTCAATATTTTGTCAGATTACAAAGGGACAAATTGGGAGAGAAGGTTTTTTAGAATTTTTTTTTCAAGTACCCATTTGACACTAATGGTAGCAGGTAATAAACTTGGCAGTGTGATTGTAATACTGTGTCTTTATCAGTCTTATGTTTTCTGGTACAAAATACTGATTTCAAACAAGTGTAGGAAATTCAGTAACAAAATATAATGTACAATTTATCAGAGGAAAGTTAGAGATCCTTATGAAGGCAGCAAAAATAAGTAGCTATCAGATGCTGAATAAAAGTGTTGTTTAATGGAAGATGGCTATTATATTGCAAGTAATCTGAATGGCATCATAGTAAGTGCCGCCAAAACACAACACATTTCAATGATCTGAAGATATAGTTTGACTAGACTAAACAAGAAGGAAAAAAGAAAACCCATTCTGGAGCAGACTGTTCAAACTGTTTTAAGATAAAGACTTACTTACACAGGCAGTTTTGGAAAACTGAGCCCTTCCAATAATGGATATAACACATCATTATGCCATGTATTTAGGGAATCCAATTTGCACACATGACTGATAATACTCTGGATAGGTTACCAATAGAGAAAATAAAAAACATTTGACTATATTGATAAAGTGAAGCCACGTAGGTAATGGTTGTAACGTTGAAGTGCTATTTTTAAAACTGTCCAACTCCACATGCTCTTATCCAAATTAGCAACTAATTCTGATTTAGAGGCCATATAGGTGGACATAAGTAGCATATGTATAAGCCAAAATACAATATCATTATTTGTAAAAGACACTGTCCAAAGGATAACTTACATTTAAAAATGACCCCTCCTACCAAAAACAAACCTATTTTGTCATTTTAACAAACCTATTTTGAATGAGGGGGAATTACATTTTTTGGTTGGTACATGTAGATGGTGTGTCATCCAAACAACTGATCTGTCTTGAGTTGATGAAGCACATTCCTTTGGAAATAGCCCTTTCCAATAGTATTGAGCATTTACATATAACCACAATTGTACAGACAAACGTCCCCACAGTTTGTGATGGCCATTTAACAGTGCAGCATTATATTGCACCATAGTAGCAAGCATTTTCTTTATTCCATTTTTAACAGAAGAACATAATCTTAATACAGAGGCAGTATGTCTCAAGCCTAGGTCACCTCTTTGGATGAGAAAATAGCTTATTCTCCAGGTCCAGGTAGGGGGGAGGGCAAAGTTGGTATGTGGTTCAATATTCTTATTTCTTTTTGAGCCTCAGTACATTTCAGGAAGACACAATAGGAACATAAGAATTGCCATATAGGGTGGAGTCAGTAGTCTTTCGAGTTCAGTATTTTGTCTCAGACAGAAGCCAATATTAAATGCTTCTCAGGAAGTTATACATCATTGTAATAGACAATTTTTCAGTAACCATAAACAGATAAATAATTATAAAATGCCTTCTGAGAATGTTTCTTCCTAATTCTAAAAAGCTAATGGTAAGTTTATGTGCTGAGTCAAGAAGGCTTCTGCCCTTTTATGCAGTTAGCATTACATTTAGATGGTACTGTGTTTATAATGGAGTATTTTCAGTGGCATCGTATGTGGGTTTCTACATGTGAAAAGAACTGGAAGAGACCTCAGAAGGTCATCAAGTCCAGCCCCCTGCTCTAGGCAGGACCAATTCCAACTAAATCAACCCGGCCAGGGCTTTGTCAAGCCGAGACTTAAACACCTCTAGGGATGGAGACTCCACTACTTCCCTAGGTAACCCATTCCAGTGCTTCACCACCCTCCAAGTAAAATAGTTTTTTCTAATATCCAACCTGGACCTCTCCCACCACAACTTGAGACCCTTGCTCCTTGTTCTGCCATCTGTCACTACTGAGAACAGCCTCTCTCCATCCTCTTTGGAACCTCCCTTCAGGAAGTTGAAGGCTGCTATCAAATCTTCCCCCTCCCCCCTTCGCTTCTGCAGACTAAACAGACCCAACTCCCTCAGCCTCTCTTCATAGGTCATATGCTCCAGCTCCCTAATCATTTTGGTTGCCCTCCGCTGGACCCTCTCCAGTGCATCCACATCCTTTTTGTAGTGGGGGGTCCAGAGCTGGACACAGTTCTCCAGCTGTGGCCTCACCAGAGCCGAATCAAGGGGAATAATGACATCTCTGGATCTGCTGGCAATGCTCCTCTTAATGCAACCTAATATGCCATTAGCCTTCTTGGCTACAAGGGCACACTGTTGACTCATATCCAGCTTCTCATCCACTGTAACCCCCAGGTCCTTTTCTGCAGAACTTCTACTTAGCTGGTTGGTCGCCAGCCTGTAACAATGATTCAGAAATATGTTGCTTTGTTTTATCTCTTGAGCATGTCTGGCCACACACAGTTTTGCATTACCTGTCTTGTGAATAGATAAGAGGTAAAAACAAACACATTACAATGGATTTACCGGTTTGGTATGTTGAACCATAAAGACATTGAACTAAAAATACATGCTAAATAGATGTAATTATATGTGAACAACAGACTCTTTAATAATTGCTGTCCTTCTTGTTAAACAGCCCAGTTGCATCAGTGAGTTGGGTCCGCCAGGTCGCAGCTCTTTGGATAGCGTGGAGATGGCATATGCCCGGCAAGTGAGTATGCTGGAAGTAGTTAAGTTCATTGCTGATGTGTCTTAGCCACAATGAACATGGGAGAACAAAACAGGAAGCAGCCCGAGTGAGAGGTTGACATGAGACAGACATGAGAGCACCTTGCCATTATTAAAATGCTGTCTCAAAAAGACAAGATAATTAGCCTGACTTTTTTTCATTAATGTGCTTCTCTATCTACTGCACTGTTTGCATCTAAAGGTGATGCTGATACTAGATATTTCATGGTTATATAGTAAATGGAAATTATTTTATCCTTTTTATATGAGACTTTCCGAACTTATCTTAAAATGTAAAAGTATTAAAAAAAATACTCTGCATTAGAAACACTTGAGAAGATATTAAATCTGTTCATAACCATAACCAGTTAATTCCATTTTTTATTCAAAGACAAGGGTTCTGATTTCCAGCAATGTTGGAAGCAAAATAAAAGACAGGGAGTTGATTTTCAGAATTGCACATACAAAACTGTATGCCTAGTTCTTTGTACTGAATTACCAGGATTACATGCATAAATTAGGTATTTGTGCAGACAGATGGCTAGTTAAACATCTGTTTTGCCATTTGTATATGCAGTCATGGTAACTGTGTACAGAATTAGTTACATACTGATAAATGTATTGGTTTTTTTTTTTAAATTGGGGCCAACATACCTCTGTTCACTTAGCATTAGTTCTGATTCTGTTCTACTTGTTAATCCATTAATTAGTTGGCTCTTATCTTCGCTGTGGAACTACTGTACTAAAACCCCCATAGAATAAGGTTCAAAGCACATTTTAGATTACAGGAAGATCTTCTCTTATTTTTCTGGAATAGATTTAGTTTAATAGCATATGAATATAGAAATCCTTCCAAATTCAGTAAATAAAAAATTATCAGATCCCCTACTGCAAAAACTGAGGATCTGACTTTCAAAGGTACTAATACCTTCAGCTGCTATGAATTCTAATGGAAGGTTAGAGTGCTCAGGACCTCTGAAAATCAGATGATTGTTACATACGTACTGTATCAATATGGTGTCTAAACAAGAAGTCCTGTAGTGCCTTAGGGCCGTGGTCACCAACCAGTAGATTGCGATCTACTGGTAGATCTCGGAGGCGCTAAGAGTAGCTCTTGAGCCCTCTCTGAACTGCGTGCCTGCACAGTACATTTACATTAGATTTCCTCATTTGAGGAGCAGCTACTCACCGAGCAACAGCACAGGTGAGTAGCTGCAAGGAATGGTGAGAATTTGGTTTTTTTAAGTAGCAGTATAAGGATTGGGGATAGCAAGTGATGGAGAGGAGGAGAATAGAGAGGGCGGGGCTTCAAGGAACGGGCGGGGCAGTAGATCTTGGCTTGGTCTGTCATTTAAAAAGTGATCTTGGGTATAAAAAGGTTGGAGACCACTGCCTTAGGGCATGTCTACACTAGGAAATTATTTCAAAATAGCTTATTTTTAAATAACTCCTGAAATAACTCTCTTGAAATAGTGTGTCCACACCACAAGAAAGCCTCAAAATTAGTCCGAGGCAGACTCCCTTAATGTGGACATGTTACCTCGAATTAGAGCCCACAGAAGCACTGGGGAGTAATTACTTTGAATGACTCTGGGGAGTAGTTATTTTGAAATAGCAGCAGTGGAGCATCCACACTACCGCTATTTTGAAATAACTATTTCAAAGTTAGTGTTATTCCTTGTGGAAAGCAGGAGTTATTTCAAAATAACCAGCCCGTTATTTTGAAATAATGGGAATGGTAGTGTGGACTTGTTATTTCAAAATAGGCGTAGACCAGGGCTTAGAGACTAACAGATTTAATAGGGCATTAGCTTTCGTGAGTAAAACACACTTCATCAGATAAATTGGAGAGGAAGATGTCTGTACCTGTGTGAGTTTCTTCATGAAGTTGCTGGATTTTTTCTTAATACAGCTAAATGCAATACCTTGCATACTGAAAAGTCTAATTCATCTGATGAAGTGGATTTTACCCATGAAAGCTTGTGCACTATTAAATCTATTAGTCTCCTAAGATGCCACAAGACTCCCTATTGTTTTTGCAGATACAGACTAAACACAGCTACACCTCAAACTTTTCAGTATGGTGTCAGTAGCTACTTAATAAAACTACACTGGTGCTCTTTTTAGTACAGATTATAAAATAATTGCTCCATGCGGCAGCCCAGAGCCATTCACAGAAACACAGTGCAGTCTAGTTTAAATGACTGTCTGGTAATGGAATAGTCAAGAGGCCAAGTCCACTGCTGTTGTGGTAGACAGAGGAAAGCATTACTACCATAAGAGGCAGTTTGGATGCTGAACATATTTTCTTGTATGTATGCAGGAAATGCTGAGGAGACAGTCTCCAACAGTCCCTTCCAAATGACTTCAAAATTTTCCCAGGGAGGCCTAATTATTCTTTTATGAGGAAAGAAAGGTTTCTGGAATGGGAATGAAGGAAAATATAGCAAAGTAGCTAAAATAACATCAAAGCTTTTAAAAGGGTATTAGGCTCTTAGGGTATGTCTACACTACCCTGCTAGTTCGAACTAGTGGGGGTAATGTAGTCGTCCGCAGTTGCAAATGAAGCCCGGGATTTGAATTTCCCGGGCTTCATTTGCATGAAGCCGGCCGGCGCCATTTTTAAATGCCGGCTAGTTCGGACCCCGTGCCGCGCGGCTACACGCGGCATGGACTAGCTAGTTCGGATTAGGCTTCTAATCCGAACTAGCTGTACGCCTCGTGGAACTAGCCAGCATTTAAAAATGGCGCCGGCCGGCTTCATGCAAATGAAGCCTGGGAAATTCAAATCCCGGGCTTCATTTGCAACTGCGGATGACTACATTACCCCCACTAGTTCGAACTAGCGGGGTAGTGTAGACATACCCTTAAGTCTTTATTCAAGCACCTAAAATCTGAAATCACCTTTGAAAATGGATGTGGTCAAATGAGAGTTTAGAAGCAATTTTTTTTGAAATCTTCATCTAACTTCTATTACGCAAATAATAGAACTGTAATGGAAATTTGTTCTGTTCAATGTATATATTTCTCAGGATGTAAACATTCCAAGAAGAGAGGGCAGTGTAAGAGCAGCTTGGTCAATGTTCAGTGGAATTCACTGCAAGGCAGATAATCTTTTGCAGGAATAGAGGAATGTTAAGGCTCTAGGGTGGTTATGAAAGGAATACTTTTTTTATTGCAACAGTGTTTTATTTAATAAGTTTTTGATGTACAGGTTGCTCTTGGTCAGGGCTATCACACTGCTATCGCTAATGGACTTAATACTATGGTTGCAGAATTCTGTTCCTGTCTCTTCCAAAGAAATAAAAGTGTGCAAAGTGAAGTGTTAGTCTGGCAGTTATATATCTGCCAGCACTTTTCCCTCCTACACTGTAATTACTCTGACATAGCAACCACCGCAAAGCTGTGCTATGCAGAACCTCTGAATAACAGTATCATTCCTGACATTCAGGCAGCTCTGGAGCTCTGTATTTTTGTGGAGGTGCATTTCATGTTGTTGTCCATCTCCCTCATCCCAACACACACACTTTGTGTCCAGAGTAGAAGGCAGTTAATGTGGGAAGAAAACTAGCTGGTGATGCTGAAACTATCCAATTTTGAAGCCTGTTTCAAATTCTGCTACTGTAGCAGGGAGGAGGAATGAACAGTATGCATTGTGAAAATTGCTTACTTTTGAAATGTTTCAGATTTATATTTACAATGAGAAGATAGTGAACGGACATCTGCAGCCTAACCTAGTGGACCTTTGTGTTGCTGTTGCTGAACTGGATGATAAGGTAATGCCAGCAAGTTAACACAGGGAGATGTATGTACTTAAACTGCTTTCAGCTGTGATTTGTAGCCTGCTGACATTTACAAAAATGTACTGATATCACAAGAAAAAATTGCATTGCTTTATAGAAAATACTGAGCCAGGAATGCAATCTTCTTCAGTACAAGCAGGGGCCACGTAGTAAATGCTGGGAGTGAAATTCTGTTTACAGTGAGGTGGGAAAAAATGCCCGGTTGTTTCATTGCCTTGTGATCCTTAGAACAAGTCCTGTGGGTCCTGTTGAGTCTTGTTTTAAAAACAGCACCTCCTGATATCCCTGTGTGCCATTTTTTATATGTGTTTTCAAAGAGTTTGTGAATGAAAGGGCTAATCTTCAGATCAGGATTATGGAAAATGTAGGTTGGTCATCAGTAATAATATTGGCTCATGTTTAAACCCAAGCACCAACTAAATAGCCTTGTGGTGGCTTTAAATCAACATTAAATCCAGTTTTCCTGTTTCTCTAGCTCAGCTGGATTGCTATAGCAGACTTGTTGAAATATATTGTCCTGTGCACTTTAATTCATCAAATCTCAGCTTTGTTCCAGATTGTGCCACCTGTCTGGGAAACCTCTTAACCTTTTTGCTTGCCTATGGCAATTTCTAATGGTGCTATTGCAAAATAACATTGCTTTCTGGACTTGCTGTTTTTTCCTGAAAACTGTTATGTAGTATTTCATATTACAGTAACACTTTATGGTTACCATAAGTATCAGGGATACATTGTGCTAGGCATGCTCCAGATCAGGGGTGGGCAATAATTTTTGATGGGGGGGGGCATTCCAAGAATTTGGTAAGTAGTCAAGGGTTGCACTCTTCCATGATATTAATGGAGGAGATGCAGGATCTGGGAAGGAGGTTGGGTGCAGAAGGGAGCTTGGGGTAGGGCATTGGGATGTAGGAAGGAGTGTAGGGTCTGAGAGAGAATTTGGGTGGAGGGAGTTGTGACCTAGAACAGAGGATTGGGGTGGAGGAAGGAGTGCAGGGTCCAGAAGGATTTTGGGTATGGGTGCAGGGGAGGATTCTGAGCTGAAGGAGGGGTATAGGAAGTGGTGAAAGGTCTAGGAAGGGGTTGTGACCTGGGACTGGGATGGAGGATTTTGTAAGAAGGGTTGGGTTGTAAGAAGAGAGATTGAATACAAATGTGACTCAAACTATGGGGAACACAGGAAGTTCTAGATCAGTACAAGTGATAGTGACCACTTCCCTGCTTTCCTCCCAATCAAATGCACAGACCGTGGAGATACATGGGAAGAGGACAAGGAAATGAGTAATACTAGAAAGGATACACAATGCAGCGGTTGGCAAACCAGGTGTCCAAAATGTCTTGGCCATCTAACAAACTGAAATGACTTTGAATGTGCACCCGTAATTCAGTTCTCTCAGACTCTGAGGGCTCTGAGCAATTCTGTTCATTTCAAAAGAGGCAACTCAATGAGTTTCAGTGCTTTTGTCACATGGAGGCATTGTGGGAGAAATCCCAAAGTCAATGGCAAAACCCGCATTTATTTCAGTATGGGTCAGGATTTCACCTTACGTGTCTTGCTATTGTAGTAGAGGAGGATTGGTCCAGTGAGGATTGGTAACTTAATCCACATGAACATGAAGTCCTGAGTCATGGAGTCTCAGTATTTTTCATAATGTGGACTACATCTGAACAGGGAGAGTCTTGTGGATATGTCCCTCCTGTTTGTGATTTCATAACTTCCCAGGGTAGCTACAGCAATTATTTATCTGAAAACTATGGCTAGGAAAGTGTTTGTTTAGATTGATACAATGACTGGAAACAAGGAAGCAGACCCAGCACCAAATCCCCAATTAGCTCTCTGAATGCCCCCTAAGGCTACATCTACACAGCAGTGTTAGTTCAGCATAACTGATGTTAATCCAAAATAACATCATCTGCGTCTATACTACAAGCAGTTATTTCAACATAATGTCAAAATAATGTCGAGCTGGGGGAATTTTTACTCCAACTCTTGCAACCCTCATTTCACAAGGAAAAGGGAAGTCAAAGGAAGAGTGCTCTTTCCTGCTGTGCAGACAGCTCCAAAAGCCAAATTAAGCTATATCGACTTAAGCAACTCAATTGACGTAGCTGAAGTTGCGTAGCTTATTTCGGCTTTAGCCCTGCTGTGTACACATGCCTTCAGTCTCAGAGGGGTAGCCATGTTAGTCTGTAACTTTAAAAAACAAAACAAAAAACAACACAACCTTGAAAAACAAAGAGTGGTCCTATAGCACCTTACAGACTAACAACTTTTTTTGTTAGTCTCTAAGGGTACATCTACACTGCATGCTTATTTCGAAATAAGCTATTCTGGAATAGTTATTCTGAAATAGCTTATTTCGAAATAGCACATTTACGCTACAGGGAAGCCTCAAAATTAGTCCAAGGAAGGCTTCCATAATGTAGATGTGCTATCTCTGTTTAGAACTCTGGGAGGCACTGGGGAGGAATAACTCAAATAGCCTTGGTGAGGGACTGTTTTGAAATAGCAGCAGTGGAGCGTTTATACACACCTTATTTCAAAATAACTATTTCAGAATAGGCATTATTCCTCATAGAATGAGGTTTACAGATTTCAGAATAAGCCGTCCGTCATTTCGAAATAACAAAATGGCTGTGTAGATACTCGCATTATTTTGAAATAATGGTGCAGTGTAGATGCACCCTAAGGTGCTACAGGACCACCTGTTGTTTTTAAAGCTTATTTTGAAGGCCACTAGACAGTCATTTATGGACTACTGTCAGGCAAAATCTATGCAGAGAAGTCTGGGAACGCGATTATCAGCCTAACTCTGGCATGTGCACTATCATCTAGACTCATTCAGTCAGGCAGATAGAGACTTACCTTGATGTGTGCTTCTAGTGTTTTCGTTATAAGTCTTGACTAGCTGTAACTTATCCTTTTTTTGTAAAACTATCATACTGCTCAGACTAGGTACATCTCTAATGGCTGTAATAACCACTGTTATATGAACTGGTTCATTTATAGAATATCTCTGATATGTGGGCCATGGTTAAAATAATGACAGATGTGATGCTGATTCCTGCAAGCGATGCGTTGAAAGTCCGGACCAGCATGGAGGTGCGCATGGAATTTGTAAGGCAGGCTCTGCGTTACCTAGAACAAAGGTAAGACAAACATGGGGGAGAAAAGCATCCATGAGAATTCATAAGTAATTACATACAGCAACAACTTTCCTGTGACTCCACTGGTATTTTCAAACTAGATACATGTGCATACTGAAGGTTAGTGATTAAGACAGAAGAACCTAATTCTGTCTTCAGAAATGCCTGTTCCCAATCGTGCAGCTGCTCTGCTGGGCTAAGAGCAGCCAGTGGGGTGGAAAACTATTTCAATTTTGAAAAAATCGTTGAGTCCATTGGGAGTCTGTTCTGAAAATACTCTTTTATTCCTTCCCTGACCCTCTTTATCTACTTGCCACAGTGATGAACAGATGCTGCACATAATTCAACTAATTAAAATAGGTAAATTATCCCTGTCTGAAAAACCAAAGTCTCCCTCTTCCTCATTCCTTTTGGTTTGCTAATGAAATAGAGAAACTAGAGCTGAGGGAAGCGGGGAGCATGCTTTGCTGAAAATGTGTATAAATGCAGTTCTGCTTCCCTTTCATGCATTGATACTGAAAATTCTTCTTTACAAAAGAAGTCAGGAAACTGCAGTTCAATTGAAGCATATGAAAATGAAGGGAGAGGGAATTATTTTTATAACTCCATGCCTGTGAAACTATAAAGGGAGCTAGGCCTGTTTTCTCTTGTGTGTGTTTGCAGTAGAAATCCCGCAAAATGTAAGTTTATGTGCTAAGCAAGACTCGTGAACAAACCCGCTTATGCCTAATGATTAGGAAACTGAATGTTTTTCATATGCTTCTCCAAGTTACTATATGAAAACACAGGTAAATCAATAGCCCATATTTTTTTTGTTTGCTTTTAAGAAAGAGGGCCAAAAAGTGTCTGATAGAATTTAGGCCAGGCAGGCCAGACACAGATCATTAGTCCCAGCAAATCTCAGCAAGATCTGGAGCATAAATTGTCAGAGCTTGAATAAGGTGCATGCATGGTTGCGTGCATAAAACAACAGCAACAGCAGGTAGAGCAGGGGTGGGCAAAAGGGCCTCTGCAGACTGGATCCGGCCTGCCACGTGGGTTGATCCAGCCCGCAGAGGCCCTGCCACTCCCCTGCCTCCAGGCCAATCAGGGCCTGGGAGTGTGGGGAGCACACGAAGTTTCCTGTCCTGCCCTGCAAGGAGGACGTGGCACTTAGAAGTACCACGCTCTCATGGAAGGGCGAGAGGAGACTTTGCGTGCTTCCCCACCCCCAAGCCATGATTAGCCTGGGGGCAGAAGGAGGAGTGCACAAATTCTTCCCCCATCCACAGGGGCATGGGCACTTAGGAGGAACCTCTGGGAAAGAGGGGGCAAAAGCACTCCGTCACCCCCAGACCAGTCATGGTCTGTGGGTGGGAAAGCAGGGAATATCCTGGCCCCGCCTCTTCCACTTGAGGCCCTGTCCCTTGCAGCGCAGCCTGGGGCCACTTCAAAAATTTCTGAAGTGGCCCCCTACAAAAAAATTATTGCCCACCCCTGAGGTAGAGTGTCCACAGAGTTAGGATTCATTGCAAGAGTCTGTTGTGCTTGGAGCATTACAGAATCTGAACTGTTCATTGCATGCATAGTCACAGAGCCACGTGAGTGTCCTTCCTGCCAGTAACTGCCATCATCATGTTACAGTAAAACTCTGATAGTCCGGCATCCAACTGTTTGGCACTCCTGATACTCCGGCATCAAAATGCCAAGCGTTCCTGACCAGCTGATTAAAAAGCCTGCCGCTCAGCACAGGTGCTGGCTCTAACCAGAGGGAGCATAAGGTTGGGGAAGGGGGAGAGGGAGTAGGATCGTGTTACAGTATGGAAAAGAGTGTTTTGCTTCAGAGAAGGGGAGAAGGGACGGGAGGGGGAGGAAGATCAGGTTACAGCAGGGAGGAGCTGCGAAGAGGAAAGGGGAGGGGAGAGGGAGGGAGATTGTGTCCTGGCCAGCTGTTAAGCCGTGCAGCTGTACCAGACCTCCTGATTCTCTGGCAAATCTGATAATCCGGCACCACTATGTCCAAAAGATGCCGGATTATCGGAAGTCTACTGTACCTGGAAAGTATGATAGTGGAGAGCAAACAATAGACAGAACCTTACATCAGTTTTTTGGGGGGAGAGCTAAGGCAGTGGGCCCTGAAACAGTATGTTGAGATAAGATGTTTTCCCTTCCCATCATCACATCCTCCTGACTATGAAGAGTTGAAAACTCATCAGCACACTGTCGCTCATTATCACTCATGAGCTTCCTGACAGCAAACCCATCTATTTCCAGATGAATTGACTAATACAAAGACTCCTCTGCACAACAGGTCAATTTGTGTCTTCACTCAATTCACTGAGTATCCAACGTGATCACAGCCACATTGATTGCAAACACAAAGCAGACATGCAGTTGCATATACATTTTTTCTTGGACAGTTTTTGAAATGAGGCCCTTCAGTCTGTTTATTTTTAAAACCCAGTAACATGCTGTGCAGCATTCATTTTTATTTGCCATACATTGGCCTTCTCTGCTTCAGTTGTCACACCCCCTCACGCTTCAGGTGTGCCTTTGGTAAATTTAAGTCACTAACAGCTGGCCTTGTGTCTGGTTACTTACAGTAGACATCTGTAGTCTTAAACCCTGCAGAGCACATACTTAAGTATAACTCTAGACATCCTACCAGGTGATATGAAACTTTAGTAGATCTAGCACAGCTTTTCACACATGTATTTTACTCTCATGTATTAATCTTCTAACTTGGTTTTCTGTAGCTCACACACTAAGTAAAAGGCTGTTGAATTTCATTAGTTCATTATTGGCTGAAGGAAAAAAGTGGGAGTCATCTGTCCCCGCCATCCTTATAATGTTGCTACAGTTTTTTAACTCCTTTTCCAGCCTGTTCCCTGTAGTTTCAGTACATGGATAATTTATTAGCTCACATTGGTGAATTACTTTCACTGTTCCCTGAACAAGGGTGTTCTCAGATCCATTTTCTGCATATAGAGATTTTGCATCTAAATTCCCTTTTCTCTTGTTCCCTTATGGTAAGTCGATGTCTCTGAAGTGTATTGTTAAGGCCTTACTTAATTCATGGTATTGTGGAAACTGGAGCTCCTGCAATTTCCACAAGGCTTCCCTTGCAGTTTTGATTTTTAATTAGCTTGCTTTGTGTATTCCACAATTTTACATACATTTTGTGGTTTGTAACACACACTTTCCCTTCCATAAGTCTAGTACATGTTGGACCTCCCTGTGGCACCTGCGGGACCTGACCGGTCCCAGACAAGGGAGTTTGCTGGAGGGGAGATCTGGAGGGAAGGAGTGGCACCAGCCTCTCTGCTGGGTTCCTCTCCCCAGCCACCTGGGCTCCTTTTCCCAGCCTTCTGCCTCCACAAGCTTCAGCAGTCCCATCGGAGCTCCTGGTGGCCCTGCTGGCCTCGCAGCAGCCCCGCCACCCCACTGGAGCTCCCGGCAGCTCTGCTGGCTGCGGGCTCCACTGCCCCATAAACTCCCCCTCTGCCTTCCCTGCCCTGCCGTCTGTTGGCTCTAGAGCCCCACTAACTCTGCTGCCCTGCTGGCTCCACTCCAAGCCGCCAGCAACTTCTGCCCCTGGGGCGTTCTCATCTTGCAACATCTGTGGGCCTACCTGACCATGGCTGTTTCTGAACCATAGAGTCCCAGTCAACCTGTAGTATTTATCTGAGCTGATTAGCTACTATGATATAGTTACAGGAAAATGTCTGGTTATCAAAAAAAATTAAATTATCAGATGTAACATAATGCACACATGTTTTTATTGTTCCAGCAAATATTTTTTTCAACAAATAGGTTTTCACTGGCTTTTTCAAATTACTGTAGTTAATGTAGGTTCATTATTACCTTTCCATAATTTTACATGTCTTGTCCACAACTCAGCCACAATTATTTGACAATCATCCTGCAATTCATAGTGCCTTATTTATCATTTCTCCATTACAGAGATTGTGAGTACAGGCATATGGGATCTTAAATGTTATTTTATGCTAGTTAACATAATGAGAAGAAAATAGTTTTTGCTAGCATGAGAAGTGAACTGTGAAATTCAAAATGTACAATTTCTCAAATGATTTCCACCTAGAAACATCTGGATTAAGGAACTTAACTCCATGGATCATGTTGTCCCTATGATAGTGTTTGCACATCCAAGTAATACACTCAAAGATAGATGGTTCTGTTAAACAGGAAGTCAGAGGTAAGGTTGCCAGGTGTCCGGTATTGACCCGGACAGGCCGGTATTTTCGCCTCCTGTCTGGTAAAAAAAATTCAGAAAATACCAGACACCTAAAATGTCCAGGAACCTGGCAATCCTACGACACACTCAGCAACTGGGCCCAGCCCCTGGCCCCCATGCTTATCTGGTTCTGCAGGGAAGCTCCCTTCTGGCTGGACCAAGAAAACAAGATGGCCGCCAGCAAAAAGACTGAAGACCTGACCAAGGGGAAGCAATGCCTTCCCTGGGTCTTAGTGCTCAATCTCTCCTCTTCCTATCCCTAGTCTGACTTTGCACACACTTAAAGGGGCCATGCTGTTTTAATGCTATTTTATTTTATTTATTTATTTATTTATTTTTGCTTAGCTCTTGGGGTCCCCCCCCCCCCCCCCTTTTTTTCCCCTCAACAGATTTTTTTCCCCAGTGTTTTTTTTGGGGGGGGAGGTTGGTATTTTGGGTTAAACCATCTGGCAACCCTAGTCAGAGACTTTTTGCAGAGATTGTGTTTTACTTTATTAAATTGCTTTCTTACAGTTATAAGGATTATACTTTGGTGACGGTTTTTGGAAACTTACACCAGGCTCAATTGGGTGGCGTACCTGGGACTTACCAACTAGTCCGCAGCTTCCTTAATATCAAGCTCCCAGCACCTGTCCCCGGTCTACAGGTATGTGTGCTACCGTTACTAATACAGCTAAAATGCTGTACACCTCTTCACACTAGTGTAGGCATGATGCCAACACAACCCACTGATGATTTTATTTTATATAGATTGCATTATGAAGTGCTCTTTTTTTCCTTTGCTGAATAACAGTAACAGTTCATTGGTATAATAGAGTATATAATCATTAGGCACAAGCGGACTTGCTTTAGAAACAGTTACCAAATGGTGATTTTCTATATTTAAGCCTTAGAATTATGAATGTTTGTCTTAAAAGAGCATTCAAATTTATTAAACTGTTTAAAATAGAAAAATCACCCAGCTGTCGTTTTAAAGGGCTAAATTTAAACACAGAAAAAGCAGTCGTCTTTTTGCTGCTTCAGATTGCAGGTGCAAGTAATTGTGGGCATGACTTTGCACTAATAGTGCTGTGGTGGCACAGTTGCTGCTACTGCAATGTCTAACCACTGAAACCGAAACCCAGGCAGAAATCAAGTATTTAACAATCTAACCAAAGCCATTTCCAACTATTGTGCCAACGGTTGCCTGCCCTGCAAAATTATAGGTGCAAATAGGGAGGCTGGGTTGAAATCCTGTCAAAAATATTAGATAAAAGATTTGCAAATACAGGTTGAAGCTCTCTAATCCAGGACTTTCTTGTCCAGAAACAACTGTCGTCCGGAATGTTTTTAGCTAGCTGGATGTCCACTTTTCAAGGATGTGGCCAAGTTTCTCTCAGTCCCATAAAGTTTGATTACAGCCATAAGTCCTAACTCTCAGTGTTCTGTGCTGTTATTTCCCACACAATGTCCTCTAACAGCCCAGTGAGCAGTGGAAATGTTGGTAATGCTGCTAGATAAATATTGACCTCCAAACGTCCAGAAAATTCTCTCCTTCGGAACCAGTCAGATCCCAAGGGTGCCGGACTAGAGATGTTCAACCTGTACAAACAATTGAACCCAAATACACTTGAACCTCTTGAATCCAACAACCCTGGGTAACAGTGTATGCCAGGCATTGCAAGGTCTGGTCATGAGGGGGTGGCAGTGGGGCTCATGGAGGCTGCCAGCAGCATAAAATCATCTTATGATTGGATGAGCTTAGAACATCACTTATTATAATAAATAAAAATATGTATTCTTTCCATCACCAAACCCATCTGGGCTTTTGTGCCTGTTGTTCTAACCTGAATTGCACGGGCTCGAGGATGTGGTGATCTTAGCTGAGGAGTATTTCTGTAGAAAGGTACAAAAAGCAGTTCAGTGGAGCAATTGGAGAGATACTGAATGCTTCTGTTTCCTGTGAGAGAGAGACAGACAATGGGTAAGGTAATGCCTTTTATTGGACCAACTTCTGGTGATGAGAAACTCAAGCATGGTCCAATAAAAGATATGACCTCACTCACTCTGTCTTTCTAATATCCTGGGACTGATGCAGCTCTAATAATTCTGTTGCCTATAGGTAGACAGATGAGGCCTGACCAGTTCCAGGCCTAGAAGTGCCAAATAAATAGTGAGTAAAGAGGGCAATTCTGTATCCAGAACTCTGTTACGGACTCAAATCCCACTCTTGCTCCCTTCCCACTGATTCCCTTTGTTGCTGTGATGTTATGCAGCTGGAAGGCAGAGTAATTTCCCTCACAGCCCTTCAGAGTGCCCACAGGAATGTATTAACTGCCAACTGCCCAATTGTCCTCTTCTGCTTGTTCCATTGTGACTAAGCAAGTCACTGCTTATGTGATTGGGTGTCTCATATCTGGCTGGTTTGTGATTTTCCCCAGCAAAGTACAAGTCCCAGGAAGAAATGTACAGATGCTGCTAGTATGATTTAAGAGTTCACACCCAGAGAAGAAAATGTGGGAGAGAGGGAGCTTAAAAGCAGGATGTTATTTAATAGCCACAGGCATGCACAGATTTTCTGGAACTTACATCAGATGGCCCTCATCCTGTATTTTTGTTACACAAATTGAATTCTGCCTGAAGTCAATGGAGAATTGAGTATGAGAGAGAACTTGAGTATTTTGCTGGAACAAAATAAACAAGATGGCTTGGTGCGTGTAAAGAAAAATAAATCAAAATATAGAATCATAAGGTTAGAAGAGACCTCAGGAGGTCTTCAAGTCCAACCTGCTGCTAAAAGCAGGATCAATCCCAACTAAATTATCCCATCCAGGGCCTTGTCAAGCCAGGACTTAAAAACCTCTAGAAATGGAGATTCTACCATCTCCCTAGATAACCCATTCCAGTGCTTCACCACCCTCCTAGTGAAATAGTTTTTCCTAGTATCCAACTTAGAACTCCCCCACTGCAACTTGAGACCATTGTGCATATTGTGCAAGCTATTATTCTATTCTTAAAATCTTTCTTTATTTTCAGGATGGAGAGGTGGAAGGCCATCCTGTTTGGGCATTGATTTACTATTGCATGCGCTGTGGAGATTTAATCGCAGCTTTGCACGTGGTGAATCGGGCACAGCACCAACTGGGGGAGTTTAAAACCTGGTTCCAGGAGTATATACACAGTAAAGATAAAAGGTATTGTGAGCTCTGAAAAATCTATATGTAATGAAGAATTGCTGTGGAGTAAAGTTAATGCTTTGGGAGGAAAATGAAACCCTGATGTTTCTTCTCGTGAATATGGTTGGCTATTATGTGTATTGCCTAACTTATACCAGTGTTTCTCAAAGTCGTCCTCAGATCCACACTGAGAAACCTGCTAACTGGTCACTCTGGTTTGTTTCCTTACTAGCTCCGCAGACTCATGACTCCCATTGGCTCCAGGCAACCAGAGCTGGCGCGAGCTGCAAGGTTGTGTGGCTGCGGAGCTGGTAAATAAACAAACCAGATTGGCCAGTTAGCAGGTTTCTGTGAGTGAATCCACAGACCACTTTGAGAAACACTGATTTACACAAAAGAAGTTTTCGCATTTTTAATTCATGGCTTTGAAGTCTAGAAACCGAGAGAGATTGAAAATATGCAGGAATTTGCATTTCAAAACTAATTTAGTAGTTATAGCTTCAATTATTTTAATGGATGATCCATTTTCTGTATCAGGGTAGGATATTGGACCTAATAGATCAAAGAGCTGAGCTATCATATATCCTATATTTTACTCTTTGCAGTGATTGTTTTCACACAACTAGCTATGTAGCGAAGGAAACGGGTATTTTTTACAGAATAAACTGGGCCATTTAAAGGGACTGAAGCCTCAGATCTGATCTATGCCTGTTCTTCTCAGCTACTCACTACTCCATCATTTCACAGAGTACAGGTGACTTAGAGCTCGTCCTGCTGGAATCTGTGAGAATTAACTGTTCTCCATGAGCAGGGAACACAGAGTCACTCTTACCAGTGGTTGAGGTGCTGTCCAGGACCTGGAGAATTGAGGGTTCGGGTCAGCGACACCATGAGCACTTGAGCCCTTTAGGGTATGTCTACACTGCAGCTAACACCCACAGCTGCCCTGTGGCAGCTAACTTGTGCTTGCAGGGCTTGGGTCACAGGGCTATTGCATTGCAGTGTAGACTTCTGGGCTCAGGCGGGAGCCTGGGTCCAACCTTGCAGGGTCCTAGAGCCTAGGCTCCTGCCAGAGCTCTACACCAGAGTTTTATAGCCCTATAGTCCGACCCCCATGAGCCTAAAAGTTAGCTGGCCCAGGCTGGTTGTGGGTCTTTTATTGCAGTATGGACATACCCTCTGGGTCTCACTTCCCCTTGTGACAGTATGAGTCCTACAAATTAAGATCCCCAGGCCTCCAAATACATTGAGCACAATGGAGGTCATTGTGTGTGTAAAGTTATTCACGTATTTGATTCTTGCAGGATGAAGATCTCAAAGAATAATTATGAAAGATGCTACATAGGCCATTAGTCAAGTTTTTATTTGTTCCTTGCCTAAGGTAGATTGATTTACAAACTACTCTGAAAAGTTAAATCTGAACTAGTGCACATTACTGTTCCAGAAACCTCCACGAAGAATCTATTGTTGTTTCTATGACACATATTTTAATATTATGTGTTATAATTGATGTGTTCTGGCTTTATTACAGTTATAAAAAGGTGCTCTGGCTGCAGACTTGACAAATGAGAATGTTTCATTTTTATTGGTTCAACTCTAGGCTTTTTTCTAAGGAAAACACGTCATACAGCACACTATGGAAATGCTTAATGATAAAGATGAAACCACACTCCTCATGAGTAATGTTTACTCACCTGAGTATTCCTATTGACTGTGTAACTGATAATTACTTAAAAGGTGGTTCCTCCTCAGGCCCAAATAATTGCTATCCATCTAATGATGTAAACACATTCTTCAATTCTTATGCAAATGACATTCATATTATTAGGACTGCAGGTTGCCGTGCTGGTGAAAAAGTCCTAGATACTGTAACTTCTGTGTTTGCCGGAACTTCGGCATGGGAATGCTTTATGTGGGTCATCCCACTGGACCACTGGAGGTGGGGGTGCATTGAAGATAGAGACCACCTTACCTTGCACTCATGCTGCAGTCTGCTCCCATGTCCCACTGGACCTAGCTTCCCAGTCTGGGTGTTGCAATCTGGTGGATAGGGACAGAGGCACCTCAGGTTTAGTTCTGCCATCCTCTGTCACGACTATAGGGAGAGATGAAAGGCGCCTGGGCTGAATCTGAGTGAGTGGCATTGTGACCTAGTGCACTCCCTCAGATCGGGCCTGGCTGCCCCTTTGTCATGACGGAAAGGTGGCTGGGGCAAAGCTGAGCAATGCTATAATCCTGTGTGTCAGGTCACACCACCTAGAACAGAAAGCCAGGCCCAGCCCAAGGTGACTGCAAGGGAGGCTAACTGTCCAGTGCCCCTCCCTTCCTTGGACCCCTTACCAGGCCAGCATTAGGAATGCAAAGCCATTGTGGAGGGTGTCACTACAGGTGGTCATTGTCTCTTCATTGTGGCGAGGATGAAGCAGCGATGGAGGAGGACAACACTGGATTGCTCTGATTTTGAAGCTGTATAGTTGAATTTCATTTGTCTGGGCATTTTTTTTTATCATCACAGAGCAGTCACTATTAAACCCAAGATTTTTGCTAAATTTACCATCACAGCTCTGTGATTTTTTTTTTTTTGCCATGACAGATCTGCAGTTGTAATGCTTGCTTGTTTGTTTGCAGTCATAAGTGCAAGGATTGCCTTGCAATGTGTGTTTCCCAGACTCTTTTATGCATTTCACTCATCCCTGTCAAGCTGTACTCTACAATAAGTTTTTCTGGCTGTTGCAAAGTGTCCTAACATGGAGAAGGCTGGAATTGGTAGAGTGTTTCAAAGCTTTTTGTATAATCATTTTATTTTATTTTTTAGATTGTCCCCTGCAACTGAAAACAAGCTTCGTCTGCACTACAGACGAGCCCTGAGGAACAATACAGACCCTTATAAAAGGGCTGTTTATTGTCTCATTGGCCGCTGTGATATTGCCGATAACCAGAGTGAAGTTGCTGACAAAACAGAAGATTATCTTTGGTTAAAGGTAAGTGTTATTTTAATACATACATTGAGTAAGTCACATCCTCAGTCGATATAAATGAGCATTTGCCTATTGACATCAGAAGATCTACACTGACATTCAGTAACTGAAGAACTGACCCATAAAACTGTTGGAAGGTGAGGAAAGTGGCTCTTCCTCCTGTGTTACACAGAATTATTCTCCATTCCAGTGCATTCCAATCTTAGCTCTTTCTGTTACATTAACTTGACAAGGTTTAGGGCCATTGTGGTGACAGAAACCTTTCCCAACTCCAGTCTCTTGTTCCTTGTGCCACCAAAGCTGGCTAGTGTCAAGGCAGCTTACTTGTCTTCTGTGAAAAGAGATTGGCTCTCCTCATTCAACAGCAATCAATTTCAGCCAAGTAAGGAGCATAGCTAACTTGTTGCAAACTGAGTACTTTACAGTTCATCCTTCCTGGATGGATCTTGGCTGAAATGTTGGTTTGGGAGTTGAGAGAAGAAAATGTGAACACCTCTAGGGAGCTACCATGCTGATGGGAATATGGGTAAAATGCTAGTCATTTGAGTATTTTCTTCTATATGGAAGCCAGGGAATAAGGACTAGTAAGGTTGCCATATAAGTTTAAAATATTGTCATTATTATTGGTGGCTTGTGTGCCATGGATTTAACTTGATTGCATACACTATTAAGGTGTGCCAAACTGGAACTCTACTATTCTTCTTTGTAGTATCTTCATACTCCAGCAATTGATTTGACTTGGTTCCTCTTTGACTGATGGTGGCTGCTAGTGAGCTGGTCAGTTCATGGAAGAGTACTTTTCGATTGAATCCATCGTGCAGGAGAAAGTAACTTAAAGATCCATGTTTCTCCCTTTTTGTGTTTAGCTGAACCAGGTGTGTTTTGATGATGATGGTACCAGCTCCCCCCAGGACAGGTTGACATTATCACAGTTCCAGAAACAACTACTTGAAGACTATGGTAAGGGACTCTTCTGCTGGGATTCTACCCGTCCGCTTAAAGTACTTTCTACTTATGTAAATTCTGAAATCCAGTTACACCCTTCAGCAGCTCCGTTGCTTATTTCCAGATCTCTGACTCTGAGAGCAACAGTATAGCTTACTGGAACTATGGAATGGTTCATATGGCTTTTCATTTGGCGAGGTAATTAGCACCCCTGTGCTGTCTGTAGCAGGAGTGCCATGTGTTGTGTCAGTTTCAAATTGCAGATCATTTTCTCTTTTCCTGGATCTGCTAAACTCTTCTAGCGGAGGCGGTTGTTGGAATAAAGAGGAAAAAAATGAGTCTTTCTCAGTTGCAGGATTGTCTTTTTTTCCCCAACATGTCTGAGCATAAGAATTCCTGATTTACTGCCTGGAGATGAGCATACCAAGTCACTCACTGAAGACTCAAACCAGTGAATGTGGCAGGAACTTGGCTGTATAAATCATTTCCACTTTGGAAGGTTTTGGGAAGGTGGGAGGATCCAGTTCCTCCCCTGGATGCCTGTCATTCAAAATTCATCTGGTTGTTCTGATTGCCGAAGGACTAGGGGGTCTGATTCTCCACTGCTCTGCATTTGTGTCATTTACATGCTTGTATAGTAAGTGCAGAGCGTGTAAATGGCTACCACTGCTGCGAGTGAGTGGCAAAGTCTGATCTGGTGATCATGCACTTGCTTTGTACTGGAATAACAGTTGACACACTTGGAGAATCTATTCCATTCAAGGCATCTTGTTTAGGAGGAAGAAGAGGGACGCCTTTCCTAATGAGGAACAGTATTCCCTTCTGCTTTCCAAACACATTGTTATACTTCGGTCTTTCTCCATCTTTGTGCAATGGGACAAGCTAGAAATGTGTGATTAGATGTTCTGTTTTGTCTTGTGAGTTTATTTCCATGTAGCGTGAGTTAACAATGGTGATGTACTGTGGCAGGAATTACCTACTGTCAAAGATCTCAGGGGCACAATCATCTTCACTCACACATGTGTTTCTTTTCAGGTGAATCGCATTTTGCAGTGAATCAGCAACCTCTTCTCTACTTCCAAGTATTGTTCTTGACAGCACAGTTTGAAGCTGCAATTGCTTTTCTCTTTCGGATGGAGCGCTTGCGTTGTCATGCCGTTCACATTGCTTTGGTCCTCTTTGAGTTAAAGCTGCTCCTGAAATCCTCTGGGCAGAGTGCACAGCTGTGTAAGTCCTGAATGCATCCCACCCTTGCCTCTAACCCTGGAGAGCCTGCAGATGGACATAGCCTTCCTAAGCTATCATTTGAACAACAGTCGGCAACTTGCCAGCATTCCCTAACCATGTCGAGATGTTCAGATATTTGCTCGCTCTATGAATATGTTGGATGAAACAGTGTTTTGATCATTAGGTTAGTGTAGGATGGTTCCAAAATATTTGATACAAAGAAATCTTATTTTGGTTCTTATTATTTCCAATATCACAGTAAGTCATGAAGCTGGCGACCCTCCTGGCATGAGGCGCCTTAATTTCATTCGCCTTTTGATGCTCTACACCCGTAAATTTGAGTCAACAGACCCCAGGGAAGCTCTGCAGTATTTTTACTTTCTCAGGTAAGAGTCTGCCTACAAGATTTGGCAGCACAATTATACTACTTTGTAGAAAAAATCTATTCACCAATTTGTTTTCTTTTCTTTTTATTTTCCAGGAAGGAGAAGGATAGCCAAGGAGAGAACATGTTCTTGCGTTGTGTTAGTGAGCTAGTAATAGAAAGTAGGGAGGTACGTTTGGGAACCCAGTTTCTCTCTTCCTCAATTAAGGTGAAATTCACAGCCTTTATAAAAGACCAGTTCAAGGCCTGTGCACTGCTTAAGCCAAATTACCTTGAGACATCTAATTTGTCAAATGGTCTGTTTCTCTCCCCCATTACAAGTATGGAAACAGATCCATGTCTCAGGAAAGCCATATGACCAAATGTTTGGTGTTGGTTTAATGCAACACCACAGAGGTGTTTGCATTCTTATGCATTCATTTTAAATCTTGTTTTCACTGAGTGCACTGCGTTATATTCAGCCCTGCAACTTTAGGCTACTACCATGTGTAGGTATATAGTTAATTTCCTTTCTTTCTTCATTTTTGTGTGTGCCTATAGTTTGATATGATTCTGGGGAAGCTGGAAAATGATGGCAGCAGGAAGGTGAGTTGAAAGTATTTTGTATATGAAATCTCTTTCTGTGTATGTGTAGATATAGATACAATAATATACAATTCTCTGGGTGCAGATGTGTGCATGCACACAAGTTGACTGTCCAGTCATTTTTTAGGCTATTTCTGGCTTCCCTGCATTTTTTCAGAGCCAAGGTCATACCATAGGTACACGCACACTATTGTTGCAAGCACAGTCATTTTGCAAAGTGATCAGTGAACTGTGTAAATGTGAAGGGGATGATGGCTGGCAAGGAGGAAGGAAAATGATTAGAAGTCTAGAATGAAAAGAGGATATAGTTTAAACTATATATCTAAAGAGACAAAAAAGGCATAGGGTGAAATCTTGGGTCTATTGAATTCAGTGACAACATTCTCAATTGAGGATGGGATATCATCTGTTCTGTAGCCAACTGTAGGATTTGGCAGTGGATTCAGAGTTTTGGGCTAAAGAAGGCTTACATCATAAGCTAGTGGCTGAGCCCGTAAATGGCCTATGAGGTTGTTAACGTGAAATACATATACTCACTCGCTTCAGAGGAAAAATGTGTTGCAACCCATTACCAGTCCTTGCGATTATGGAGGGCTAACAGACCAAAGGCATATCCACAAGTAAGTTTCTCTGCACAAATGAAAATGAATGTCTGATCAAAGAATCAGTTGTCTTAGTTGAGTGATGAATCTGGCTTCCATAAAATATGAAACTGAATATATGCATACACAAAGGAGAGGGGGAAACTCATACTTCTCTTTTAAAGAGGAAAGTGAATATAAATTTATACAGTTTTGGAAAATGAATTACAAGTCTCTGTTCAGTGAAGCCCCATTTGTCTTTGTGCTCCTCAGTTTGGAGCATAAACCCAATTCCCTAAACATGTTCCGATCTCAGTAATCTGGCCAGAAGTTTTAGAAGTGTCAAAAAGTATGTTTTATTTCTGGCAGGGTGGTGTTTTTTTTTTTTTTTTTTTTTTTTGTACATTTCTCTCCTGTCAGCTTTTCTCTGTTTTTAGGCTAATGTGTCATGCCCAGGTTGTCCTATTTTCTTTAATGCAATGATCTTTTCAGATAATTTCCCTTGTTATGTTTCTGCATATGTTGTGTTTAGAGAGAGGGAGTTCAGGTTACTTTCAATTATGAATCCAGTTTGCTTGCTTTTACGTGATTCATTTCAAGTTTAACTATGTTTGTTTATGAAGACAATGAGACCAGAATTCAGAACCATTTTAATATAGCAAATGATTTTAGGAAATGATGTGATCCCATTTTTATACTGCACTTGTGTCCTTCTCAGAAGCCTCGGATCTTGGTTTTTTACCTCCCTTTTTTACTTTCTCTTTTTTTTCTTTTTGCTAATAGCACTTGCCTTTGGTTTGTCATAGCATTTCATTTGCAAACTGTTCAACCAGATATATAACCTTTCAGAAGCCATTAAAATATATATGCCCAACTCTTTTTTGTTTCGCTATTCTTCCTGGTGATGTCTTCAGGAAATTAAAGTGATTTAGACTTGGACCTTTTATCTGGGTTATTTTGAATAAATCCCAGTTGGAGAACTCTTCTCTTACAACAGTTCTTTCTGTTTGTAATGTGTCCTTCTTATGCATTCCCATAGAAATGAACAGTCCATTCTAACCACAATATGGCATGTAAAATATTTTTCTTGACAGAATATTCCAGGAATTTTAAAACTATCCGATCTCAAATGCTTTTTTTCCTTCTCTTCCTCCCTGTTTGTCTTGTCTCATCAGCCAGGAGTGATAGACAAGTTTACTAGTGATACAAAACCTGTTATTAACAAAGTTGCTTCAGCAGCGGAAAATAAAGGGTTATTTGAAGAGGCTGCAAAACTTTACGACCTTGCAAAGGTAAATGTATTCTAATAGCTGCCATCATATCTACCTATTTTATCTTCTTTTTTAAAAGCTATCAACCTTGATTTTAAAGTAATTTTAATCTTGGAACATGAACTGTCCTGACAGTATTAAGGCTGAATCTTGCTCATCTCATTCTATAGCTGTTCCGTTGGCTTTATTGAGGTGACTCGTGAGTAAAGCAAGGAGGTCTTGGACCTTAATGTCCCATCCATACTGGGATTTTGCCTTAATGCCCATAAGCAGTCTAGATTCCTAGTCGATATACAGTCCACATTTCAAATAATTGTTCCCATGAGCAAGATTGTTCTGGCCAACAAAGCGTGTGTGTTCATGTGAAATAGGGGCCCAAGGCTCCAGCCTCCACTACTTCTGTAGCTCCTGCCCCTTTTGAATCACTTGGCCCTGGGGCAATTGACCCCTTTGTGGTCCCCCTCCCCTCCGGCAGCGGGCCTGGGATCAGGTCTTTTTACATTTGTTGACAAGATGCCAAGCTCTATAACATTGCTTTTTCTTATTCAACAGAATCCAGATAAGGTATTAGAACTGATGAATAAATTACTCAGTCCCGTGGTTCCACAGATCAGCACTCCCCAGTCTAACAAAGAGAGGCTGAAGAATATGGCACATTCCATTGCAGAGAGGTAAGACTGGGAGTTAGATCTCTTGAGACTGTGAAGTGACTAGTGTGTACCTGACTATTCCAGTTCAGGTTCCTACACCACTGATAGTCAGTACACTGGGGGTGTTGTTGATGACCTTGCTCATGCTAGCCTGAGCGTGTACTTAGTGATGTTTTTAAAAGAGAAGGGTCAGAACTTGCCCTACCCTGCTTTTAATGACTGTATATTAGAAAATGTAATCTTGTGTTCCTGGTCAGATGAATTTGAGAGAAGAAAGATATATTACTGTTGGTCAAATCAGAAAAGGAGACCTGCAATATTACTGGAAAGAAAGGAGGGCAGGAGAGAGCGAGATATAATCTAGACAGCGATAAATGTAGTCAGTTGTACATTTTAAAAAGAGAATTTTTAATGAAATCTCCTAAGGCAAATTAGTTAGGAGTGGTTGTTAAGGGTAGCGCAACCCACTAACCTAAAATTGAATTAACAATAAGCTTTAATGACTAAGGCTGTTCTAAGAGGTTTGGAGGCCAGAGGTTAGTATCCTGAAGAGTTTGTTTTCCAAGAACCAGCAGTTTGTTTCATTGCTGTTTTACTAAAACAGCGATGGATTAAAAAGGCTACAAATTTCAATGCAAAACAGATAAGGCAGTTTCACAGAAGATGAAGTTAACCAGTGATATTTGCTGCCTTAAGATGTTATTGAGATAAAGAGCACTACAAGGAATCAGAGAACAAGTTTATATGAATAGTAAGAGGGCTATATGGAATCATAATACTCTAACTAGGATAAACATTTATCAACCTTCGTATGCCTGGGTTAGGAGTAAGCTGTTCTCATTGTTATTAAAGATAGTCCTATTTTTACATCTTCCTTTAAAACATCTGATAGTGGGTGTAGTCACAGACAGGATACTACGTGTCGTGTTTCTGGTGAAGTATGGGACTTCCTGTGTTTTCAATAAAAGAAAATCCTGATACTTTTAGAAACTTCTTAATTCTTATAAAAATGTAAATAAAATAAACTAAGCAAATCTTCAAGCACTTCTAAGTGTAGCCTGATATCTTTGATTTTTTTTTTTAATTAAAAGTGACATTTTCAGGTCACTATTTCAGTCTGTCCTATCTACAAATAATGAGGGTTAAAAAGAAAGAAAATTGGTACTGAATAGGTAACGTCATTCAGCAGTCTCCATGATGGAGTCTTTTAAACATCACTGCTTTATAGCTGCACCATCAATAGAGGGATCAGCCACTTTTTTGCTTTTTCTTTCATCCTTGTGCTTCCTAACATTCAGGACTCTTGACTAGGATTGGATTTCTTTTTCCCACTTAATTATTGTTTAGGGCTTTTCCTACATACCTTTTTGCATCATTTTATGGGAATAGAGGAAATGCTGTACACAACAGACCAAATGTCCCTCTAGTTTGGTATTCTGTCCCCATTAGTGGCTAATGCCAGGTGCAACAGAGGATGGTTGAAAGTGTATATAATGCACTTGAGCAACTGCACAGGAGTGGGGAAAAGAGCCTGACTTAGTTGGAAGTGTGTTCAAAATATAAAGAATGAGGATTGGTAGCCGTTTTATTTCTGTTGTATGTAGTATAGCTAGAAATAGTATTCATGATCTTCTAACCCTTTTTAAAGTCTTACTAAGGTATTTGCTTGAACATCCTCAGGCAGCAAGTGTCACAGGTAACTATATTGTATAAATAACATTTTAAAAATGCTTCTACATCATCTACCTGTAAGATAAATAAGATCCCAGTTTCCATAGCCAGTTGTCACATGCATTTGGAAACATTAGCAATGCAAATGTAAATAAACATGTTATTTGTGAGAAATAATTGAAATGAGCCGAAGACAAAGCTGCAGAAACTCTTCTTTATGGTTAAGGGAAATCAAAGCTGCCTTTTGATGCTTGTCTTTTGTTTGAAACCTGATCTTCCAGGAAATTGCAAGTTAGGGACTCCTGGCTATATGTGGATGCTGTTTTGCACAACAAAAATTGTAAACTCTCTTTTCTTTCAGGTATAAAGCTCAAGGGATAAGTACAAAGAAATCCATTGACTCTACATTCTACCTTCTGTTAGACTTGATCACATTTTTTGATGAATATCATGTGGGTCATATTGACAGAGCTTTTGATGTAAGTTCCAAATGTTCCATTTGAAGTTGCATTTCCATACTGATGCCCTTGCAAACCCAAAGCATTTTATGTAACGCAGCTTTAAAGCAACAAAAAATGTATGGTGTGTCTGATTGAAGGAGTTAGATGGTACAGTGATGATACAGGAATTTAAAACATTTCTTTCTTTCCTGTAATTTGTAATCAGGAAGATTTTTATTCTTGAGACAGTTTGTAGCCCCAGAATGAAATGTCCCTGCTAGAGCAATGAATGGGTAAGCAGTAAAATGCTCTCTTCTTCGAGTGCTTGCTCATGTCCATTCTGATTAGGTGTACGTGCGCCGCGTGCACGGATTCCGGAGCTTTTTTCCCTTAGCAGTATCCATAGGGCCAGCAGGGAGCCCCCTGGAGTGGTGCCGGTATACCGGTGCATATATACCCCTGCTGGCCCTCCCACCCCTCAGTTCCTTCTTACCGCCCGTGACGGTAGCTGGCCCGTGCTTCAGGCTATAGCCTATCTCTTAGCAGCTTATCTCTTATCCGTTGTATTATAGTTCTAGTTGAAGTTTTTTATCTAGTTAAGTAGTTGTTAAGTACTGTAAATAGTTAGTTAGATAAGGGAGCAGTGGAACCCTCCCGCAAGGGGAGGGCATGCCAGGGCCCCAGGGCTTTAAACCCTGTGCTTCCTGCTCCAAACCTATGCCCTGCGGAGATCCCCACTCCAACTGCCTAAAGTGTCTGGGTGAGGCCCATCGAGCTGAAAGCTGCTCTATCTGTAAGAGCTTTAAGCCCCGGACCAAGAAGGAGAGGGACTCCAGGCTGAACCTCCTGCTAATGGAGTCGGCACTGCAGCCTCAGGGCAAGGAGCGGCCTCACTCTGCCCGCAGCGCACTGTCGGCGGCACCCCCGTTGGACAGCAAGGCACCGAGGCGCAGATCGCCGTCACCGGTGCCGAGGGCCTCTAAGAGCTCAAGAGGACGCTCGGCAGAGAGGAGTGCCCAGAAGGTGCGCCCTAAGGAGGGGCACCTTTCTTCTAAGTCCTCTAGAAAGAGGCGCAGCCTGGACAAGGGCAAGAGCCCTGGGCAGCCCGTGGGGCTAGGAGAGGTCCGTCGGCCCTCCACCCCAGAAACTTTTGAGGCGGCCTGGGACCTCATTCACATGGCTGTGGATGAAGGGGAGGGCCCAGTGCCACAGGAGCGGACCGCACCGGCCTCAAGTGCCCCCCAGCAGGACATGGCCGGGTCGTGGGACCCTCTGGGCGAAGGGCAGGCCTCGGCCCAGCAGCAGCAGTTTTTCCCGGTGCCGGGGAGAACACTGGCACTGGAGCCGGGATGAACACCGGCAGCGACAGCTCCGGGAGCGTGTGGGCTCGCTACGCCGACGGCACCGGCACCGGTGCAGGGTCCGGTGCCGCAGACGGCTCCCTGGGCGGTGCAGGGCCCCACACAGTATTACGCACCACCTGCAGTGCCGCAACAGGCGCCCCGCGCGGCACCGATGCTGATGCCTCTCCCGGCACCGATCCCTGCTTACTCCTTGGGGGCACAGCAGCAGAGCGCGGCACCGGTGCACGTGACGGCACCAGAGGGGTACGCACCGGACTATCAGATGCACCCGGGCGCGGTACCACCACAGCAAAGGCCTCCACTCATGCCCCCACCGGCACCGCGTGTGGTGCACAGGGGCAAACCATCGGCCATAGCATCCCAGCATAGGGTGCAGGCTTCATCGGCCCCTCCCTGGTCAGCATCAGACCAGGAGTCGGAGGCCAAGTCGGTGGCTTCAACCGGGCCTTCGTATAGGTCGCGGCCCCGTCATAGGTCCCGCTCGTCGGTCAGATCATCTCACCGGGAGCTGATGGACCAGCAGCAGTCGCAGGGGCAACCCCAGTGGGTTTTCTGGATGCCCTGGGCATACCACCAGGCCCAGGGGCCTCCCCCTACGGGGCCGGCAGCGGGGTCGTCACGAAGGAGTAGCACCCCGTCCGCCACCCCCTTGACAGCCCCCCCCGCCTGGAGGCGGCTCGCCCATGGCGTCGAGGCAGAGACCCCCGGTTATTGGGCAGGGGCAGGGGGCTATGTCCCAGCCAGGCGCAACCTATGTGGACATCTCTGCCCAGGGGGAACCAGGGGCACAGATAACTGAGGAGGAGGCAATCCCCTCAAGGGAGTTCTTGTCGTCTTCACCCGACGAGGCCCTGGCCGACCCCGCGCCCCAGCCCCCGTCTATGGACCCCAGGGCGCACCAGGAGCTGCTCCAAAGGCTGGCGGTCAATCTTGCGGTCCAGCATGAGGAGGTTCACGAGGACTTAGATCGGATGGTGGACATCATAGCGGCAGCGGGCCCTGGTCGAGTGGCACTCCCACTGAATAAAACGGTGGACAAGCGGTCTAAAACTCTGTGGCAGACGCTGGCTTCTATTGCACTGACCCAGAAGGGGGTTGAGAGACGGTACTATGTACCCCAGGAGGGGCACGAGCATCTTTTTACCCACCCGGCTCCGGGATCCATAGTGGTTCAGGCCACTGGGCAAAAGGAGCGCCAAGGGCCTCCAGGTCCCACCCCGAAGGCAAAGGAGCCTAGGAGATTGGACCTACTTGGCCGGAAGACCTATGCCACGGGGGGACTCCAGCTACGTACAGCTAACCAGCAACTGTATGCTTTTAATACATGGGCGTCTATGCAGAAATTTGCCAGCCAGCTCCCTCCCGAATCCTGCCAGGAATTCGGGGCCTGATGGAAGAGGGCCAAGCAGTGGCGCGTACCTCTCTCCAGGCGGCTTTGGATGCAGCTGATTCGGCAGCCCGCACTATGGCCACAGGGGTTGTTATGAGGCGTAGTGCCTGGCTGCAGGTGTCTGGCATCCCACCCGAGGTGCAGACCACCATTCAGGACCTGCCCTTTGAGGGGCCGGCCTTGTTTTCAGAGCAGACTGATTCCAAGCTGCATAGCTTGAAGGACTCCAGGGCTACCAGGCGGCTTTGGATGCAGCTGATTCGGCAGCCCGCACTATGGCCACAGGGGTTGTTATGAGGCGTAGTGCCTGGCTGCAGGTGTCTGGCATCCCACCCGAGGTGCAGACCACCATTCAGGACCTGCCCTTTGAGGGGCCGGCCTTGTTTTCAGAGCAGACTGATTCCAAGCTGCATAGCTTGAAGGACTCCAGGGCTACCCTGAAGTCGCTAGGGATACATACCCCGGCGCCTCAGAGGCGCTCTTTCCAGCCTAGACCCTACCCTAGAAGGGGGGCAAAACAACGATAGAGCAAAACAATGATAGGGGTCGCAGGAGGGGCCATAACAATAGCCGCCCTGACCTCTTTAGAGGCAGGCATAGGGGCCCTCGGTCAGACTCCGAGAGAGGCTCAGGACCGTCACCCGGTCACCAAACTAAGCCCTCATTTTGAAGGTATGCCAGAGAGCAGAGTACCAGTAGCGCCTATCTGTCCACCCTTTGGGGACCGTCTTTCCCTCTTTTACCAGGAATGGTTAAAGATCACGTTGGACCATTGGGACCTAGACCTGGTGAAGCAGGGATATACTATCCCCTTCCTTTCCTACCCTGCCTCCCATCCCCCAACCCCGTCCCTTTTCAGGGACCCCTCTCACGAGACACTCCTTCCGCAGGAGGTGTCCAACCTGTTGATGCTAGAGGCCATAGAAAGGGTGCCCCCAGACGTAAGGGGAAAGGGTTTCTACTCCCACTACTTCCTAGTACCCAAGGCGAAAGGGGGTATGCGTCCCATACTAGACCTCCGAAACCTGAACACCTTTATAAGAAAGACAAAGTTCAGGTTGGTGACGCTAGCCTGCATCATCCCATCGCTCAGAAAGGGGGACTGGTATGCTGCTCTCGATTTAAAGGATGCGTACTTCCACGTTTCAATTTTTCCAAGTCACAGAAAATTCCTCCGGTTCACGGTGGGGCAGGATCACTTCTAGTTTACGGTCCTCCCCTTTGGACTGTGTACGGCCCCGAGGGGCTTTACCAAATGTATGACCCGCTAGCCTGCATCATCCCATCGCTCAGAAAGGGGGACTGGTATGCTGCTCTCGATTTAAAGGATGCGTACTTCCACGTTTCAATTTTTCCAAGTCACAGAAAATTCCTCCGGTTCACGGTGGGGCAGGATCACTTCTAGTTTACGGTCCTCCCCTTTGGACTGTGTACGGCCCCGAGGGGCTTTACCAAATGTATGACCGTGGTAGCCGCATTTCTGAGGCAGCACAGGGTCCAAGTGTTCCCATACCTGGACGACTGGCTCATAAGGGGCAAGTCTCGAGAACAAGTGCTGGACCATGTCTCGAGGGCCAGGGTTTTGTTCGAGGGTCTCGGCGTCCTCATAAACGAGGCCAAATCACTGCTAGAGCCCACGCAAGTCATAGACTTTGTGGGGGCCCATCTGGACTTGCCTGTGGGCAAGGTGTCTCTACCGAAAGACAGATTTACGACCATTCGTTTTGAGGGTCTCGGCCTCCTCATAAACGAGGCCAAGTCACTGCTAGAGCCCACGCAAGTCATAGACTTTGTGGGGGCCCATCTGGACTCGCCTGTGGGCAAGGCGTCCCTACCGAAAGACAGATTTACGACCATTCGATCGCTGGTAGTGGGGCTGCAGGAGTTCCCAACTACGCCGGCGAGGACCTGCATGAGGCTGCTAGACCACATGACGGCGGGCACTTACGTGGTCCAACACGCCAGGCTACGCATGCGCCCATTGCAGGGGTGGCTCAAGGTAGCGCACAACCCCTTGAGGTCACCGCTAGACGCGGTGGTAACTATCCCTCAGGACATTCTGCGCTCGCTGGACTGGTGGAAGGACGAGAGCACGGTGTGTGCCGGGGTCCGATTCACCAAGCCGTCCCCGTCTGTGCAGCTGGTCACGGACGCTTCGGACGTGGGATGGGGCGCTCACCTGTGCAACCTCAGGACACAAGATACGTGGTCAACAGAGGAGGCTCACCTCCATATAAATATCAAGGAGCTGCGGGTGGTCAGGCTGGCCTGCAGGGCGTTCCTTCCCCACTTACAGAACAGGGTGGTGGCAGTGCTGACAGACAACACTACGGCCATGTTCTATATCAACAAACAGGGTGGGGCGCGTTCCTCTCCCCTGTGCCGGGAAGCCCTAGATCTATGGGAACTGTGTATAGCCCACAGCATTTTCCTGGAGGCATCTCCCCTTCCGGGAACCAGGAACAGGCTAGCAGACAGGCTCAGCCGTTCGATCCAGGCGCACGAGTGGGTGCTAAGGTGGGATGTACTTCATGAGGTCTTCCAAAGGTGGGGATTCCCCCGCCTGGACCTGTTTGCAACTCTGAGCAATGCCAAGTGCGGGGAGTTCTGTTCGTACATGGGGCATGGTCTGGGCTCTTGGAGATGCACTGCAGGTCAGCTGGCCCAGGGGCCTACTCTATGCCTTCCTTCCGTTCCCTCTGATCCACAACACGCTCCTCAGAGTGCAGAGGTTCAGGGCTCGGATCATCCTGATAGCGCCAGTATGGCCTCGACAGTACTGGTTCACCACCTTGCTGGATCTG